GTGTGTGTGTGTGTGTCTCCTCTGCCCTTACAAAGTAAGAGGTCAGAGTAAAGCACGTCCCGTCCCGAGGGGCTGGGACAAGAGATGGTGATGTTTCCCAATAGTGATGAGGTGGCTGGAGAGAAGCAACGGTGTCTGGTGGGCAGGTGTGGCTGGAGCCAGACCTGAGGCCTGGGGCTCAAACCGATGGGGGGGTGGGGGTGGGAGTGGGGTGACGAGGAGAGCTCAAGAGGGCAAGGCAAGGGTGCTGAGGACACAAGCCCCTGGGGAATGAAAGTGTCTAGGGAAAACCGACCACAGCCTCCCTACCAGCCCCCGAGTCCCCAGACAACCCACATGTCTGGCTGCGATCTTGGAGGAGCCCACGAGGTTGCCATCACCGTCCAGGACGTCAATCCCCTCCTCCAGCTCCCCGTACCGCATCAGGACCACGTTGCAGATGTTGGCGCTGGCTGGAGAGAGAGGGTGGCAGGGAGCCGGCGTGAGGGGGGCGGATGGCATTCTACCCTGCGCAGGAGATCACTGGGCTCCACCCGCACCAAGAACAAAGGTTTTGAATAAATGCCACGTCTGCTCAAACAGTGGGCGAAGGTGTGGTTCTGCTGCCTATCAGCCTGGTGAAGGATTTGGGGGACCTTGGGAACCTGGAGAGCAAAGGTGGAAAATAACCAGTGTTCGGAAGGAAAGGGAAACTATTCAGGACTTAGAGAGCGGCCAATGATCAAGAACGCTGCTTTCCTGTCCTCAGGCACAGGCCCCACGGGCAGGCGAAGTGGATGCCCACCTGGGAGGGCTCTCGCGCTTGAAGACGCATCGGCCACACTGGTGCCTGATGCTCCACCATCAGCACCTCAGTCCCTTGGGCTGCCTTTCTGGGCATCCTCTTGAATTCCAGCCCCCCACGTTTAGCCCCTCGCTCCTCAGAATGAATCAAGTTCCCAGAGATTTGCTTCCCCGACAACAGGTGCCAGAGCAGGCAGGCACCTCAGTGCTAACCCGGCACCTCCCCCTCATCATATGGATGGAAAATTGAGGCTCAGAGTTGGGGAGTGACTTATCTGAGGTCACACAACAAAGCGGGACAGAGCTGAAAGGCTACAGTGCCTCATCCTTCAGGTACCCAGGAGATGGAAGTGTTTGGGGCGGGGTGGGGTGGGGGGCAGGCACGGCTAAAGGCATACCTTCTACGTTCCTGCTCCACGTGCTTGGGTTCCTCCTTTGGCCATGCCTCCCCATGTCAGCTGAGATCACGGGGACCTGGGCTGAGGGGAGGGCTCCTGGCTCCTTAGTTCAGCACTGTGTGTCAGAGTTTGGGCGGCCACCCATCAGCTGGTGACTGGCACAGGGAGCCTCTTTCAGCTCCTTCCCCCTGGGATCCACGTGGCTGGCCCTGGGCTCAGGGCCGGGTGTGGGTGCTGACCTCGCCTGAACTCCTCCGGCCCTGTTCCAGGATGGAAGTGGGGGGACTTGGGGGTGGTGGGAGGGTGGGGAGTTCGGGGGGTGACAAATTTGGAGCCCGCCTGCTCCAATCCTCCCCCAAAAGCGCCTTGCTGTGTTTAAAGTTTTAATTTTTGCTAATTAATGTCAATTAATTTTGTATAATGAGTGTTTAATTTTGGGGAGTGTGTGAGCCTGGGAGCGACTGCAGTTCTGGGCTGTGAACGCTGATTAGCATCAACACCTGCTGCTTCCCCACTCCCTCCAGTGCGGGGGGGACACCAGGGTTTGGGGAGCTGGAGGGCGGCAGGGCCTAGTGGGCAGGTGGAGGAGGACCACAGATGCTCCTGGTACCCAAGCCAACACTGGGGAGCAGAGCGGTCCAGGGCGCTTGCAGCTGGGGGACAGGATTCTGCAGGTGAGGGGTGGCTTGAGGCCCTGGGGGTCTCTGAGCCTCAATCTCCTGTTTCAGTCAAGTGGGGAGGTGGAATAAACAGAGAGGAAGACTGAGATACTCTTCAGTCTTTGGAGAAGAAAAGCAGGAGACCAAATACAGTTTTGAAATGTATTTACAGCACATATGCCATCTCTGAGTAGCTCTCGTGTTTCCACACGACACACAGGAGCAGTGGGAACCATGCGCAGACCTTTTCGGCATCAGTTCCTCCTGTCTCCACAGCAGGCGTGCTCTCCTGTCTTACACAGAGGCTCTCAACCGGGGCCATCTTTATGAGACATTTGGCAATATTTGGAGATGTTTTTGATGATCACAACCTGGGGGACGGGGGGCTGCTACTGGCATCTAGTGTGATCTCTAGAGACCAAAGACGACTAAACATCCTACAATGCACAGGACAGCCCTCAGAACAAAGAATTTTCCAGCCCAACGTGTCAGTAGTGCTGACGTTGAAAAACCCTTGTCTTACACACGTCCAGACTGACAGAGTTAGGAAGGTGAATCTGAGGTAAAGGAAGAGAGAATGGGAGCCTGGGTTTCAGGCCAGCTGGGCTTAGGTTCCAGTCCTGACTCTGCATCTCCCCCTCCCCGCCCTCAGAGGTGAGCTCTTGACAGCCCCAGGGCCCCCAGAGTGGCCTTGGAAAGGGGCACCTGGCCTGGGTGTTAGTGACTTGCCCTCTAGTGGTGGCAGGAATGTACTACACCCATCGCACCCCCTGGATGGCCAGGCCCTCAGTACCCAGGAGACCCAATATTAGTCTCTCTTTGGAGAGAATATTGGGGTTTTCTGCCCTGAAAGGCATCAATCTCTGCCCTCTGAGAATCCTTTCCACCACCACCACCACCATTCCAGGAAAGGCAAGGCCACAGGAATGTAGTCCAGGGGAGGAGCAACTGCTTAAAGCCAGAAGCCAACAGCTGACTCTGCAAACCCCACCCCCTGCCCAGCTTCCCAAGTGTAAAAGGAGGGGCTGCATTTAGTGTCTCCACGGGATCGCTGGGTGCTGTCTGAGCTTACAGGATCTCCAGGTAGAGGGGCCAGGGGCGGTAGTCCAGGGGAGGAGCAACTGCTTAAAGCCAGAAGCCAACAGCTGACTCTGCAAACCCCACCCCCTGCCCAGCTTCCCAAGTGTAAAAGGAGGGGCTGCATTTAGTGTCTCCACGGGATCGCTGGGTGCTGTCTGAGCTTACAGGATCTCCAGGTAGAGGGAAGCCAGGGGCGGCTGAGACATATCTAGCCTGACTGTGTGTGTATATGTGTGTGTGTGTGTGTGTGTGTGTGTGTGTGTGTGTGTGTGTGTGTGTGTATGTGATGGAGACAAAGACAGGAGAGAGCATGGTTTTCGAGGTGATGGAGCTGCCCCAGGCTCATGGTGGCATCTCGCCTGCTCTCTGAAATTTCCGAATGTGTGATGTGGCCTCAGAAGGACAGAGCAGGCCTTTGGTTCAAACACAAAACAGGGGGCTTCCCTGGTGGCGCAGTGGTTGAGAGTCCGCCTGCCAATGCAGGGGACACGGGTTCATGCCCCAGTCTGGGAAGATCCCACATCCCGCGGAGCGGCTGGGCCTGTGAGCCATGACCGCTGAGCCTGCGCGTCCGGAGCCTGTGCTCTGCAATGGGAGAGGCCACAGCAGTGGGAGGCCCACGTACCGCAAAAAAAAAAAAAAAAACACACACACACAAAACCACTTGAGATGAAAGACAAAGCATGAAAGGAAGTGAAAACCCAGCCTCCCTCCCCTCCTGGATGCTTTTGGGGATGACAATGTCCCCTCTCATCTGAGCTCCCTGGCTGGAAAGAAAGAGAAAACGCTGAAAGCCACCTCAGAAGATGGCAACCCCAGGCTCCTCCCTTGGAACACCCACAGTTCTTAGTGCTTACACAGACAACACATGCCCTGTAATCTCTTCTGTTGACTGTGTACAGTGGTTATCCATTTATTAAGCACTTGCTGTATGCACCGGTTGCTAGCCATCCCTGCCATTGAGCAATGAGAATGCCAGCCTGTTTTAGTGATTTCATTTCCATGATCTCTTCCAGAACTTTCAGTTCCGCTGTATTGCTTTCAAACCCTCCCAGATCCTTCTCATCTCACTCCTGGACAGTCTAACTCCAGAGACATAGACACTGAGAGACTAAGTAAATGAAAAGAGAGAGAGAGAGACCAAACATGGGCTACGGGTCTCCTTTCTAGCACACCAGCAAGATCCATTATTGACGATATCAGCAGGTTAATTAAGCAGTCTGTTAGTGATAATGTTAAGAAAGCTGGCACATTTTCAACTCAGATTGAGTTCAAGACTCAAGCATAACTGATGTTGGAGCAGTGATGCTAGGAGATGTCAGTGGATGAGAGAGAGAGAGAGAGAGAGAGAAGGAGAGAGGGAGAGAAAGAGAGAGAGACAGAGATTGCTTCATGCTGATGGCAAGCTCAGTGTCAAGGCCTGAGGAAAATATGCTCTTGCCTGCTGCAGATGTTCTCACATCAGACACATCATGATGCAGAATCATGCAGATTGTGAAGAGCTAATGAAGCGCCTGTGTGAAAAGTACAGTGTGGGGGGCAAGAAAGAGCAGTAGATAGAACGACAAGTGTGCAAGTAAGTTCTCAAAAGTGTGACTACAGGGGAGCTTACCCCTTGAACTAGCACCGGAACAGAGGCATAGATCAATGGAGTTAATAGTCCAGAAACACCCCCCCGCCCCCCCCTCCCAGCTGTAGGGGAAATGAATTTGTGTCAATGCAGTTGTCTCGACTTGCAGGGAAAGGGCCATTTAAATACGGGGTGGAGCAATGGGCTATTCATCTGGGAAAACCAAATACCATAACTGATCTGCTCTAAGAGGCATTTATGCATATTTTAACATTATAAAAATCACCATGTGCCTTACAATGCATGTTGCAGGGGGACCTTACCTGCTCTTCATCACAACTCTCTGGGCACGGGTGAACTTAGCCACGGGTAGAGGTATCTGTTCATGCAACTGTCACCTCAGCTGCCCACAGCAATCCACACAGAATTTGAACTTAAACTTAGATTCCTAATTGTTGCCTAAAACATCTTTTTAAAACTTACACTATAATGGAGCATGGACACGAAAAGTTATTGTGCATGCAGAAGATCGTCTGCCAGATACCAGGCAATGCAATTAAAGGCAGCAGAAATTGCCAAACCATAGATAGCTACCCTAAAGAAATGCTTGCCCATATGCACAAAGAGACATTTACAAGGATGTTAATTATAGCACTGTTTGTAACAGCAAATAATTAGAAACAACCTAAACGTCCACCATTAGGGAACTCACGTGGGAAGATCGCCAAAACAAACTTATGTGAACAAAGTTATTGAGTATGTACAGGATGATTTACTGAACGTAAAACCCCACAACTGGTACACACACGTGTGTGCATAAATCCTTGGGTAATGTTCTAGAAGGGTCACACCTCACTGAGTAATCCTCTTGGGGAAGAGAACCAAATTTGGGAATTAGGGGCTATTGAAGAACTTCCACTTTTTTACCCTAAATTTTTCTATACTGTTTGCATTTTTACAAT